GACTTTACTTATACCTCTGCCAGGACCAGTGTCACTGGGAGGGAATGTCCTTGCTTATATAAATGTTCTCAGGTTTAAAGGACTTGTCCTCGGCATTTGGTCTAGGAATGGCTCTAAACTCAAATCTCACCTGAAAGTGGCTGAGCTGGGGATCTGTCCCTGGGACATGGGCCCCCGGAGCTGTGGGGGATCTGTCCCTGGGATGTATTTGAGATTTGAACATTTGTCTGTATTTTTTTATAAATGTCCTCCGTCTATGGGGACTGCGCGCACCCCGGCCCCGTCTATGGGGACTGCGTGCACCCCGGCCCAGTCTATGGGGAGCGCCATCAGTTCATTGATCAGATTTTCAGTCCGATAAGTATTGCGGTGGAGTGACCATAATAAATTACTTGTTGGCTCTCCATGTTACCTGATCAGACAGAACATGTGACCATTTAAAGTGGAGCCGCAACAGCCAAGGAAGGCGCCATCTCGTTGTCTTTGGATTACGGTTACCATGGTGCTGCTCATGGGATCATCTAGGACACCAGACATTTGACTGCTTCAAAGTTTGGCCGAGTGCTGAAAAAAGGCGCTCTGACAACCTTGATTGTCATGCCTTGAAAGTGACTGTGTTGGGAGACATGACATTGGTGGGCCTAGTTCCTCTTTAACTTCTAATCAGTCCATCGTTTCTGCTTTTAAATGACTCTGAAAATGATCCGGTCACAAAGGTTTCTAAAACTCCGGCTGATGATGCACTTTGTATTTTTACTTTTGGGTAGAGTGGGAAAGTGTTGTAGCCTCTCTCTGGTTATTGCCATCTATACCCTTTATGGGGAAGGGGGTGGGGGGCAATCACCCCTCATTTTCTGTCTGGATAGGAAATGATGGGAAACCTCAAAAGGGGTATATTTACAGTATACTCCCCGTTATCCGGCATTCAAGGGGATTGGTAGATTCAGGATAAATGTAGTTTCTGTTTGCTTGAGAGTTACTATTAGTGATGGGTCTAACTAATGTTCTACCCCCATACTATACCATAACATAAACTCTGTATTGATTTCACATTAATATTGAAATACACAATCATTTCCAGTATAATACATGCTGCAGAGCAGGGAGTACGCAGAGGATTTTTTTTCTGGTTACATGAGACTTCTGGTTAGTTGAATACCGGATAACAGATAAAAATTTTTTTTTTTTTTTTTTTTTTTTTTTTTTTAAATTGCTTTTCTGTCTTTTACAACTGTGCCCCCATTTAATGTATGGGAATAGTGCTGCAACAACTTATCGATAATGAGAATCATTGTCAACAATTCTTATTGATTAGTTGAACCCGCTGCCACTCTGCTCCTCCGTTCTCTTCCCCGCCAGTGCCGACTGCAGCAGTCTGTGTCCCTTTCAATACCTGCTGCTATCCCCTCCTGTATCAGCCAAGGTAGCAGTGACACAGACGGCTGCACCAGCGGGAAGGGGACACTGGTGTACCTCTGCATTGCCCCCCGTTCCTCTACTGGTCCCCCCCTCGCCGGTGTCCAGTCTCCCATCATCGGCTGAAAACGCTAGCCAGCCTGCTATTGGATATTTTAAATTGCAATAGCAGGCTTGCTATTGCACCCTCGCAGTGCCTGCTGTCAGTTGGCAGAGGAGGACCTGAAAGTGAAATTTCTCCTTCAGCTCCCTCTACTGATTGACTGCTGGCAGTGGGCGGGTGCAATAGCCAGCCTGTTGTTGGCTATTGCAATTTAAAATATCCAATAGCAGGCTGGCTCTTGCTCCCAGCCACTGCCTGTGGTGTTGCCGTTCAGCTCCTTCAGCAGGCAGTTGTCATTCCCCAATTAAGTGGTATGAAGTAAAAAAAAAAAAAGAAAAGTTAAATGAAATTTTAAAAATACCCTCCAAAAATGTAAAGTCCCCCAACCCCGCGTACACGCGCATACTAACGGAAACAAAAGTCGGGTGCACCTACATAGAAAAAAAGACTATTGTTCTTCACATGTCGGGTATCGCTGCGTGTGCCGGAGAGCAATAATTCTCAGGCCAATATTCATCGATGACTCAACTGATGACCGGGCTTTTATAATATCTATCTATAGATATCATTTTTAGTTTCGGTTTGAAAATTCTGCTCCAGGATGTGCGTTGTGGTGCTATTGTCGGTGGCATCCCAAACACCCTCCTGCCCGCAGTGTGATCACCTGCACTGGAACGCACGTTAGTGCAATACCATGAATTTCAGTGCAAATGCAAAAATTGTTCATTCTGTTTCTATTCTGTAGTAAACTTTGTAACACTTCATTTTGTGTATTTATGTAACAGCTTCTTGGCTAAACACTGCTTTCTGGCTTTGCCAACTCGTGCGCGTCACACACAAGCCGTAAACTCAATTTAAAACTATCAACAATGCCTGTTTTTACATACAAGCGGTCCAGCAGCTCTAGATCTGCTGGATCACTTGTATAAGGTGCCTGTAGGTGCGCCCCTCTCCACAGCGTTCCCAAGCTCCGCTATGCTGTGGCACGGCAGCTTTGTGACGGCATCAGAGGGAGATTGGCACACAAACTCCCTCCGATCCCCTCTCCGATGTAGGAAGTTAAGTATATTACATCCCTTTCTGGATTCTGCTGTCACTCTATGGCTACAGGAGCTAAGGAAGCAGATATATATATATATATATATTTAGGGCTGTTGCTGATTAAAATGTTCGATTAATGGAAATTTTTTTTAATTGATTAATTATAACGCACATACAGATACAACTACATTGGCCTATACACACACAGCACAGCAATGAAGTAATAAAATGAACTAGGATCACACTAATCCAGCACATAATTAATCTCACGTGCCCCACTCAATATGGCCGCCGCTTGAGTTGGGCAACTCAGAATAATAACGTGCTGGATTAGTGTGATCCTAGTTCATTTTATTACTTCATTGCTGTATGTGTATAGGCCAATGCTTTTATAGGCCAATGCTTTGTCTGGCGCTCGTGCAGAAAGTTTCTTGGGCAAACTCACCGACCCAAGTGGCTCCGTCGTCTAACGAAGGGAAGGGGGAGGAGTCTAGTGACGTCACAGACATCGACGTCACCGGCCTCCTCCCCCCCCTTCCCTTCGTTAGCCGACGGAGCCACTTGGGGAAGGGGGGGGAGAGTCCGGAGACGTCTGTGACGTCACCGGATCTCCGACGGGACTCCCGGAAGCCGGCGTATAGGTGAGTATTTTCATTAGCGATCAAAATAATTTTAATTGATCAAAAAGATTAACGATCGAGAAATCGTTAATTTGCACAGCCCTAATAAATAGATGGATAGATCTATCTATCATTTTACATTGGTGACTGTTTCTTTATTACAATCTGGTAGAACCCAGTCTAATCTTTAAATCCCATGTACAGTAACGGAATATTGAAGCATTGCACTCCAACACTGCCTGCACACAGTCCAATCTTGTCCATTCATTTTGTAGATCTTATGAACTAAATCCCACACAGCTTGAAGGTCCAGCAGAGTGAATGCAAATTAAATATATTCTTTTACACTCATACTACTAGAATGTGATTTTTGTGTGCTGCCATTTGACCACCCCTTACCATTTGAGGTACTTTGCCTGCTCATTTTACTGTTGTATGAAGATGGGGATTGATTTATCAAGTGACTTGACCACCAGTGATGGCACCCACCTCCTCATTCTGTGCAAGAGACTACGGTACACCAAATAAGGCATCTGTACAGCTTTTAATGGCCGGTTTGTGTCATGTCTTGAGTTACCTTACTACCAGCAACCATCTCTTTGGTTGCTGACCCATTCAATTAGCCCCAATGGACATCTGGCAGAAGGCTCTTGAAAACTAGTCTGCCTTTTAACCAGCCCGTTAAGTGATTATCGTTAGTGTTTTGCAGCAGAGATCAGCCTTTCATGGTCAACTTTTCGATGGAGCCCAGTCCATCTTAAAGCTTAATTGAAACGATTATATGCTGAATATTTGACTTTTCTCCACTGCAAGACCGGTGAGTGACTCTCGACCTACTTTTGGATTTGTATGGATGTTTTTGTGGAGGAGTACCTGTGCATTTAGCTTAGTAATGGCATGCAGTGGCTACCCCTGGGGCTATCCTTCGTCTAGAATAGCAGTCCTACGTATTGCGTAATGTGAGATTGGTAAAGAGCGATCTTCACAACGTTTACAAAGTACTAAATTTATGCTTCTTTGTGGGGTCTGGTCACGTGACCACTGCCTTGGCATTGGTAAAGACCATGACCAAAGCCGAGGACTGATGTGATGAGTCTGTTCAGCCACAGCTGCCAAATGTCTGAAAGATCATTTGCATCTGGACAGCAGGGATGATGATCTACATTTAGCCACCACTCATTTAGTGCAAGTGTACATTTAGTATAAAATGAACGTCGATCTTGTAGGCCCCCCCCTGTGGTTTTCCGGGTCCACCGCTCTTCTGGGGGACTTGGAACCACGGCAAGTGAGCGCAGGTAGGGAGCAGAGCAAAGAACGCCCATTCTCTGCTCGTTCTCCACTCTGATCAGGGAGAACGGAGTGCTGTAATTACAGCGCCACCTTTCTCAGCTTTCAGATATTGCACAGATCTGTAATGTGTTGGAGGGCAGGTTCCATAAAGTGAACCTGTCGCCTCCAAACTATCCCATAGGGGCTTGTAAGCCCCAGTGTGATGGGAATAAGATAAGTGGGTAAAAAAAAAATTAAAACCAACTCTGCCACCCACCATCTGCAAATAAATGCACGCGTAGGACATTGTGTGTGGCCACCTTTTCCACTGTGTGCCTATTGTGGTAGCCAGGCAGCAGCGCTCCCTAACACGCACCATGTGCATTAAGGGGGCGAGTTTACTTAATTTGGGAAAATAGAATTGCCCGCTCTAATCTGCCCACCCCAGCGCTATACTTGCATTTTGGCGAACAGTCTTTTCCCTCTGCCAGCACTCATTGGTCGGGTGACCGCGCTGACCAATGAGGAGCGCTATTTAGCACGGTTAAATGCGGGTTTGATTAAAACAATTTATCGGGACGAGTAGATTGTCATGAGGGACAAGTAGATTGGGCTCCTGCTTTAGCCCTTGGGCAAGTAGTTTTTACATTTACACACCCCTGGGACAGTGATCTTTCCACTGCCATCTCCTGTATTTGTGCACCTATATACAATCTCCTATATAATATGAACTTGTGCATTCCTGCTGTTCCTGTTGGTATGGCTAGATGGTAGTTTGGAAGGGGTAGTGTTGCTCATGATTACAGTTCAGGTGTTACTTTGCCCTCCTATAGTGGGTAATGGTCATATAATGACTTCCAGGGAATGGAGTTGTATTATCTAGGCGTGTTTTAGGGATCACTGCTATCTAATTTTAGTCTTTAGTAATCTCCTGTGAGCTAGTTTGTTGTGTAACCCTGTAATTATCTTGCCTATTCACTGGCAGGTATATCTGGAATGCTCCATAGCGCTGGAGGTTACAAATGTTTTGTACAGTATTGGCTTGTGCTTGAAGTTGCCTTGACACGAATAGATAAGGATGTGCTTTTAGATCTGCTTTAGTTTCCAAAACATGGTAAAACAGTCCCATGTGATAGTCCTTTTTATATTTGGAAATTGAAATTCAATTGTGCTGTAAAGCCTTTCTTCAGGGGGGAGCCCTAGCTGTGGGGCTGTCCCGGCCCTAGAAGGTTTTAAGTGCTTTTGCCAGATGTGCCAGACCTAAAGAACAGTGTGGGAGGGGGGACTGTGGTGGCTCTCAGGTGGCTTTGCTGGTTCTGTTGTGGTCTCTGCGGTGGCTGTGCGGGGTTAATGGTGCGCTCTGTGGAGTTAGTGACAAAGTCAAAAAACATTGTGCTCTGTGGAGTTAATGGTGGCTGTGCAGGCTGTATGCTGGGCTCTGTGGAGGTAATGGTGGCTGTACGGGCTGTATGCTGGGCTCTGTGTGGCTCTCAGGTGGCTGTGCGGCTCTCAGGTGGCTGTGCAGTTTCACCAGGTCCCGGTTGGTCGGCAAGTGGCATGGCGAGAAGATTTTCATGCATTATACATCAATGCAGAAAAATATGAAGCTACATACTCTGCTTCTCTGGGGTGCCAGTCTGATATCTCTAGCGGAGGATCTCAGGTGGGCTGTGCTGATTATGGTGGGCTGTGCAGACCCTTGGGTTGGCTGTGGGGACTCAATGGTGGGCTGTGTGGCGCTCAGGTGGTTGTACAGGCTGAATGCTGGGCTTTGTGGGGTTAATGGTGGCTGTATGCTGGGCTCTGTGTCTCGGGTGGCTTTGCGTTCTGAGTCCCAGTCGGCGGGTGGCATGATGAGATTTACAGGCGGCAGTGTAAACTAGCGCCGTTGTTCACAGGAAGGTTGCCAGGATCTTGCTGGGGACCTCTGCAGTTTTCTAGCACTGCAGTTGATTGGGGGGAGGGGGGGCTTCCAGCTTCTCTCCTCCCCGCTGGGCGCAACTGCAATGGTCTGTGCCCCACCAATCCCGTCTGCAGATACAGGCAGGGTAGAGCAGCAGTGATCGAAGGGGACACAGAGCGCAGCATGAGAAAGGGGGCTGTATGATTGGGGTTTGGAGCTCTCCTCACTGCCTGGCACCAGCTGAGGAGGTTTATGTCTCCAGCGGGAAGGAGAGAAGCAGAATCAACTAATCGATAATGAGAATCATTGACAACCATTACATTTGTTGTTGCAGCCTTAAAACGTTTTTTTTTTTTTTTTTAAATCTAATGGAGAATGTAGTTGTTAAGCCACTGAGGACCGTAAAGCACCGCTTTAGGGTCCACTTGCAGTCAAAACCATTAGTTGGACATGCCTCCATTAGGGGTATTGCAGAAAGGGGGCCCAAATCGAACGCCTTCCGGAACAAATGTTAAGGCCGCTTATGGAAAGGTTTGAATTTTTTTTTTTTTTTGTGTGATTCTTCGGCGCTATTAAGGATTTATATACTTTGCAATGAACGCTTTCTACTACATTTCTAGTTTTTTTTTTGTTTTTTTTTATTTAATTGGTGTGGAATCTTGTGCGGGTCCTGTTTTGCTATGGTCTTTAAATGTTTTGGGTTTCTGCTTAGCTATCATTTTTTTTTCTCCCTTTTTACAGGAGACAATGGAAAAGTAACCACAGTAGTGGCCACGCCAGGTCAGGGACCAGACCGTCCGCAGGAAGTGTCCTATACGGACATCAAAGTCATCGGCAATGGGTCATTTGGTGTGGTTTATCAAGCAAGGCTTGTGGATTGCGGAGAGATGGTGGCAATTAAGAAAGTTCTCCAAGACAAGAGGTTTAAGGTGAGAACCGAACATGTACATTTCAAAATGTAGTCCCTGTGTTTAATCGGTCAGCAGACTCTCTTTATATGTGAATGATGTTGGGTTTTTATGACCTGCGCTCATTTTAATTTTTTTTTATTCTTTGTACAGAATCGTGAACTGCAGATCATGCGTAGACTGGATCACTGTAACATTGTCCGTCTGAGATATTTCTTCTACTCCAGCGGAGAGAAGGTCAGGCAGGCCTCAACACACCTTAATTCCTCTCCATCCTTCACCTGACCAGTTCTTATAAAATGCTTTCAGTTGTACCAAAAATTGTTTGATCTCCCCAACTTTTTTTCCTTTTTCTTCCCTCAAGTATTCTATCCTATTCACTGTCCCGAGTCCTAGCTTGTGAACCATTGTAAAAGATATTGACACTGTTCAGTATACTGTAATCCATAGAAGCTGATCAGATCTTGGTTTGGCAAACTCAGATGGTTGCTTTTGGGTTTCCTAGCCTTACATTGTCTTTTTTCCAGTAAACTTGCTTGTCTTAAAGTGCAACTAAACTCAGGAATTAAATCTTAAAAATATATTCAAGTACATTAACTAGGGATGCATAGATCAAGGCTTTTCGGTATAGAGTAAGAGTACCGATACTTTCCTTTTCGTTACTTGTTCCATGCTGTCTGGCCGGCTTGATTGTGCTTGGACGGAAAACCGGCTTCCCAGCAAATCGGCATCGTGCTGGCTGTTTCTGCTGGCTAGATTATGAATGGCCGGCCAATCAGGAAGCCGGGACGCGGGTCATTACTTGCCTCCCAGGTTCCTAATCGCACAGGAAGCTGGCTCCATGTTACCCTACAGCACTGCCGGTCAGAGGAAGTCTTCCTCTGTCCGGAAGGTATTGGAGCATTTAGACGAGTACTTGCCCAAATACACAGTATCTGTGCCGATACAGATACTAGTATTGGTGCATCCTTAACTATTAAAACAATGTATCTTTTTGTATCACTCGGCTGTAGATCCTCAAATCATCTCTGAATTGGTTTTGACACTGTCCTTCCTTCTGGAGGGGGGGGGGGCTACTTTTGTTCCCCATGGTCCCTGTGTGTGTTTATAAAGTAGCCACCGCTCCAAGCTTGCTCCTGTGATGGGCTACAATCTAAATACACATTTGTTAACTAGAGATCACAGGACTGAGATTGTAGTCTATCACAAGAGCGAGCTTGGAGCGGTGGCTATTTTACAACACACAGGGACCATGGGGAACAAAAGTAGCCCCCCCTCCAGAAGGAAGGAGAGTGTCAAAACCAATTCAGAGATGATTTGAGGATCTACAGCCGAGTGATACACAAATAAGATACATTGTTAATGGTTAGGGTACTTGAATGTATTAAGATTTAACTCCTGAGTTTAGTGTCACTTTTTTATATTAAAAATCATGTAATATGTATTGATACTTTACATCATGCGTTTTCTTTTTTAGAAGGATGAAGTTTATCTGAACTTAGTCTTAGACTTTGTCCCGGAAACGGTCTATCGTGTTGCTCGGCACTTTGCGAAAGCCAAATCCACGCTGCCGTCCATATATGTGAAGGTGAGCTGGTCTAGGAACCTGCTTGTCAAGTTTGGTGATTTTTTTGTGGTGCTTCAAAAGGTGATTTGTTTTTTGTCTTTTTCACCTCGTAGGTGTACATGTACCAGCTATTCCGTAGTCTGGCCTATATCCATTCTCAAGGTGTCTGCCATAGAGATATCAAACCACAGAATTTACTGGTTGATCCGGATACAGCAGTGCTGAAACTCTGTGACTTTGGCAGGTAAGCCTAAGCTATGCGTCCTGGTCCTAAGCTGCCTACATCTAGCAAGGGTTGGCTGTTGTGCTTTCGAGTACCGTCGTGCCTGTGGGGGAACACTAGCTCAAAGTATACCACAGTGCCCCCTTGGCTTAACCCTTAATGTCTGTCCACCCATTGACTTGCAGAGCTTTGTTGCTAATGCCCCTTCTGCTGTGACTGAGCATCTGCTGTTTGTCCACACTGAAGAGCACACTCGTGCTGACACCCCCGCATGCTGTTAATCAAAACAAATTGGCTATTTGTCTCCAAGTGAGCAATGTGATCAGACAACGGTGGGGGTGGGGTGGGCACTTCCACTTCCAACCATGCTATTCAGCATCCTTTGCACCATTTTTTAAATGGGCCGAAGTACTCTGTTCTGTGTCCCCTAGAAAACAGAAGGGACTCAAGATTTGTTTGGGGAGTTTTCTTTAAGCAGATTCTGATTGGACAGAGCTAGTGGGTGTGCTATATTGGTTATTGATCTTTGATTATGAAACAAATTGACACAATAGCTTTAAGTAATTATACCTGGTTATCTGTGTTTAAATCTTATAACTGCATTTAGTTTGTCATTCAGGAATACATGTTCTCTATTTCACAGTGCAAAACAGTTGGTGAGGGGGGAGCCAAATGTGTCCTATATCTGCTCCCGCTACTATAGAGCACCCGAACTTATATTTGGAGCCACAGACTACACTGCAAACATTGGTAAGTTGGGGCAGTACGAGCATGATCAAGGTGTTCAGGGGGATTACCTCGCTGTTTGTTTTTCCAGATACCTGTGACTGTTGTTTATATTGACACTTGTCTTTCCCTTTCAGACATATGGTCAGCAGGTTGTGTTCTGGCAGAGCTGCTCTTGGGTCAGCCCATTTTCCCTGGAGATAGTGGTGTGGACCAGTTGGTGGAGATTATAAAGGTAAGAGGCTGGCAAATGGCTGTGATATCTTGTAAACTGTTAAATGTATTGTATATCTAAAGTGTTTACTGAGAGAATCGATCAGATGATCGCAATGCCTGGGCTCATAGGAAGTGGGTTGAACTGCAACTAATGGTTATTTTCAT